CACCACCGCCTGGCTTAGCTGCTTTTTTACACGTAAAAATTACTAGCAGTGTACAGCAGGCAGGCTCTAAGAGAACACTGCATTCTAGCAATAGAAGAAGAAAAAAGTCACCATCTCCTCATACAAGGAACAGACCCTTCTCTGCCACCTTTGTATTTACACCCCACTCCAGAGTTTCCCTTCTGTTTCTGTTAGAAGCATTAACTTCCTTTCCAGCGTCGCCGGCTGTTTGGGAGACTTTAGTGTACTACCTTTACAGTATGACATGGTACCTTTGGCTTTCTCCTCAGGCCCCGATCCTAGGTCCTTTTGCTGGATTTACTGGAAGTCATTTACTGAATGAGTAAGTCTCATTTACCAGAGAACTTGAAAACTTGGGCAGGATCAATACTCACCCCGCCCATGTCCATGCACCGCTGGTATGCAGCCAGCCTCATGAGTCATCTAGAGATCATCCATTGGAAAGTTGCTGTAGGACACAACCAAATAAAGAGCCCAGACTCTGGATTAAATTGGGGGCAAAGGCAGAAATGCTCTCTCGATGACCCATACATATATACACAGTAGGATCCAGCAGTAGAACTCTGTTTTACTGCAGGCTGGCCCTGAACTCACTGTAACGTAGATTGGCCTTTAATCCTTTGGACAGCTGCTCTTGGCCTGGTCAGCGGTATCTCGAACTTTCTATAACTCCGTGTGTGTAGTTTCCCTCCTGCTCTCGAATGGGACTTCTTTCCTTTAACAGAATGTTCGGTATTTTCATTACTTGTCATAAGACAACCGCCCTGCTCACCTACGGGCTGTGGGCCCTTGGCTGACTGGATGAACCCTTGATCTTTTGGAGGCAGTGGCTTCAGAAATAAAGAATTAAGAAAAAAAAGACTAGAGGAACACCCTGACTGATGGGACAAGGAAGAGTGTGGGGAGGAGCCAGCACTTCAGTGGGCTCTTGAGAAAAGGGTTCGTATAGACGAAGAAGGGAGAGTGCTCCAGGTTGAGGGCTGAGAGTGCAAGGTAATTGGCTGGACTTGGTGGCAGTCCTGAATGAGAGGAGTAGAGGATTGTGTTAAAAGCTGGGCAGGGGCCAATGAGGAGCTCCCTGCCAGAATCCCAGCACCTAGGAGCAGGAGGAGTCAGGGCTGGCCTGAAGAATAGAACTGTGTTTGGTAGGAAAACTGATAATATTAACTGAGCAAAGGCCAGGGTCAGAACTCTGTGGAAAGGTTAAGAACAAGATCTGAGAGAAGACAGGCTTCAGTGAGTCCCTCGGAGTTCAACTTAGAACCTAACAGAAGGTGAGAGAAGAGCTGCCAGAGAAGCAGCAGGTTAGGGGGTGGCTGAAAAGTGGGCTTCAGCATGAGTGCAAGTCTGGTCCCTCAACAGTGGGAAGTACCTGCCACGTCCATTCCACTGCTCAGGGAAACTGTCCAAAATAAAGCAAAGTAAGAAAGAATGAGTTCTGACAGGGAAACTGCAAGGGGACCACCGTGCATCTTAGAGGTAGAGTGCACACTCACGTGCCAGAGCCCCCAGGTGTGATCCCCATCACTGCAGGTCAAAGGATGAGCTTGCATCGGGCTGAGGAGTGTCCCTCCTTAGAACGGCTGTACAACATTTAGCTTGTTATTAATGGACTTGCTTTCTAGTTTCTGCTCAGTCCAAGTTCATGCGATTGGGTATTCCAGACATTCTCTGTGGCTTTTAAGTCATCTGTTGATAAGCATTGGACAACCCAAAAACCAGGTGTGGTGTTGGGCATGCAAGCACAGATCTTGCCCTGCTGGAGTCATTTTGGGATGGTGGGGAGCAGGGACAACAATAAAAAAAAAAGGTTGGGGGGAGGATATGTGCTGAAGGAAAACATGTTGGTAGGCTGAGTGAAGTCAGGTGGCAAGAAGTGTTAAAAGAGTTAGGGACTTTAGTCCCTAAGGAGGAGATAAAGACAGCCAACTTTAATCTGTGACCAGGAAGGTAGGCTATCCATCCAGAACAAAAGCTAAAAGCAGACATTGCTGAAGAGATTGAGAATATGAAACAGAATGACAGTGGGAGTTGGTTTCCAGACTCTGTCTTTTCTGCACAGATTCAGAGGCTTGTTCTCCCCAGAACAAGCCACTAAGTTTACTCAGTCAGGCACTTACAGCATTACAGGCTTAGTTTTTTGAAGAGCCGAACCTTGTTCTCAATAACGAATTTTTTGTTTTACTAGCATTAAAATGTCATTTAAAATACTCTACAGGCTAGGGATATGCTCAGTTCTAGAGTAGCATGGTCAGGGCAAGACTTCTGCACGTCAAACATATGCCTTGGTACAGGACCAATGGCTGAGTAAACCCAGCTGCTAGTCCCAGAATGCACACGTGCGCATCCCTCCCAAGCCTGCGCTTCCCTCATCCAGGGAACACGAAGCAGCTTTGTGCAGCAGGTTGACCTGCCCGCCTGCCTGGGAAGACCTGCGAAGGACTGAGGTCCAAGCGAGAGTCTGACTGTGTAAGTTGAACATTGCTCCACGTACCCGGGCCATGCTACCACACTTGTTGATTCTCCAGAGCTGGGATCCACAACATCCTGCTTATGTATGACTCTGGAGAAGTCCAACCTACCATGTGGGCAAACTCATATAATGGCTTTCCACAGATTTACTTTGGACTGAACTGCATACTGTAAGGATCCCATAATCACATCTTCACACACTTCCATGTATACATGTAATATTTCTCTCCGTGACAAGTAGCCAGAACTGAGGAAGAAGGGCCGCCCTAATTTCCTCCCATGGCCTGGCAGTGCTGCTGAATGGTTATTAGGCCCATGCAAGGCACCCCTCACAGGTCAGACTGCAATACGACACTGCCGCAGTCCCTGAACCAAAAGCCTTAACCAAGCCTCCTCAGATCAGTCCACACCTAGTGAGTCCGCCCTTCCTTTCTCAGGGTTCCCCATGCGGTCATCAGCACGCTTTCCAGTCACTCTTCCACTTTGCCTTTGGCTCTAAGTCTCTACGTGAGTTGAACATTCCACAATGTGCTCTCCCTCCACCAGGACCCTCCTGCCCAGTCCTTGCTTGCCCCCACTTCTAGTATGTGCTGTGCATGTTAGAGTTCCTCCCCTTGGCAGCGGGGAGGATGAGCAGGGCAAACACCAAGCAGCTCTTCTGCCCAACTCCCCTCTGTGGGCAGAGGGAACCTGCACAGCTCAGTCCTGACGGCTCCAGGGTCCTGGGGCGTGGCCTTCTGTCTGGTACCTGCAGAGGCCGGAAGAAGGCGTTCAGTCTCCTAGAACTGGAATTACAGATTGTTGTGAGCTGTCACGTGGGTGCTGGGAATTGAACCTGGATGTTCTGGAAGAGCAGGCAGTGCTGTTAACTGCTGAGTCATCTCTTTGGCCCTTAATTAACATACTAGTTGCACAAAATAGTGACTTTAGCTGTAACATTTGCACATACAAATATATTGTGCCTTGTTCATTGTCACAATTTCTCATTCTCCCTTTTTCTCACCTCTGTACACCCCTCTCCCTGGCCCATAATAGTCTCTGTTTTAAGGTCATCTTATTTTTCTTTTCAAATGAAAAGATACATGTCCTTTTAATCTAAAGTATATCCTGATTCCATCTCTGATTGGTTGGTTTCCATGCTGAGGATAGAACCCAGAGCCACCAGCATGCTAGGCACTACCAATGAGCTAGCTAGTCCACAGACTCCAATACTTGTCTGGGGAATAAGTAATTTTACTTAACATCATACCCATCCTCTTTTCCCCCTCTTTTTCTTTCTTTTTGGTTTTTTTGAGACGGGGTTTCTCTGTTTAACAGCCCTGTCTGTCCTGGAACTCACTCTGTAGACCAGACTGGCCTCGAACTCACAGACATCTACCTGCCTCTGCCTCCCAAGTGCTGGGATTAAAGCTGTGCACCACCAAACCCGGCGCCCATTCCTTTTCTTGCAAATGACAGGATCTCATTCATTTTCTCTATCCATCCATCTGTAGATAGGCACTCAGGCTGATTTTATGACTTGGCTACTGTGGGTAATACTGCAGTAGGCAAGTGTTTGGGCTGGTTGCATTACTCTGGGTGTTCCCAGAAGTGGTGTAACTGGATCATAGGGTGGGCCATTTAGTGTTTTTGAGAAGCTTCCACACTGACATCAAGTGGGATCACATGTAAGGACCCCTTTTCTCTTGCATCATCACCAGAATTTTGCTGTCTGTTTATCACCATTATGACAGGTGTGAAGTAGAATACCAATGTGGTTTTGATTTGTATTTCCCTGACAGCTAAAGATACAGTAGCTTTTCCCCCATATATATTGGCCATTTGTACTCCCTGGAGAAGAATCTCTGTAGGTGATTTGGGCATTTTAAAAGTCTGGTCCACCCACCACTCTTTTTTGTCAAGTATTTTGATTACCTTATGGTAGCTATTAGCCTGATAAAGATGAAGAGCTGGCAGAATTTCAGTCAAGAGACTAGGTCCAGCATAAGAGTCACGTTCTTCCCTATGCCCCTCTTTGATTATTTTGGAGTTAATGACTGTACCCCAGTGGTTGGAAAAGAGGCATGGTACCTGGTAAGAAATCAGTGTCCTGGAGGGTCCTGGTGGAGGGAGAGCAAAGCACACTCTTAGAGCCAAGGGGGAAGTGGGCATGAGACAGGTGACAGCGTGGAGAACTTGCACCACAGTCACAGAATCAACAAAAAGATGTATAGCCGGCTGGCATGACTTAGAGGTTGCAACAGGAGAGTTATTGAAGCCCAGGAGTTCCAAGAGCAGTCTGGGAATATAATCAGGACCTGTCCCAAAGGGATGAGTATTGGTGAAATTATTAAGGCCACTCCACGTAGTTAAAAGGAAGATTTATTTAGTGGATAACTTACAAAAAAGGGATAGGTAGGTCGCAGGGGGTCTGAGGAAGGTGTATCGAAGTCCAGCAGTGTTCTCCGGAGCTCTGCTCGGTCAGCCTCCACTGTCCAGGGTCCGGGAACAGAGCGAGCGCTGGCCCATCCAGATCTTGGGTCTCCAGGTGCCTCCCTTGGCCCCTGCCTTGTAGGCGTGACAGTTGCCGAAGCCTCAATTGGAACTTCCAGATCAAAGCTGGAATGGCTACCCACTACAGGTGAGGAGAGACCATTGTGAACTTGTCAATCATTTGAACTCTCCTCAGTGAAGAAACCCCAGTTATTCACAGAGCAGCCAGGCTCCTCCTGGTTCTTGTATGCTCTTTGAAGGCCCCAGTATGAGGAATGATGCCAGGAGATGCTTTGCAAGTCCTTAGCTTACATGTGCATGCACCAAGTCCTCAGCTTCCCTGGTACCTGTTGTAAACAGAAAGGCTAGAAAAGCAGGCCTAAAGGTGTTAGGTTTAATTAACCTTAGAGAAGAGATGCTCTAGGGAGTGGATGTTTCCAAATCCTTTAACGGGGATGAGATCCAAGCTCTGCCCAGCCTGACCTGAGGAGCCCTTCCAGGCCGGCCATAAGAGAAAAATGAAGGGCCCTTTCAACAGCTCAGTGGGTAAAGGTATTTTCTGCCAAACTTGACAATCAAGAGTTCTGTCCCTGTGGCATGATGGAAGGAGAGAGCTGATCCTGCAAGTTGTCTGACTACCTGTGTGCTGGGGCACATCACTTGCCACACACATCCCAAATAAAAATGTACTTTAAAAAAGGACTTGCTGGTGGGAGCAGATGCAGAGACCCACAGCTGAACATTAGGCCGAGAGAGAACCTGAATTGGAGATAACCATAGGGTGTTCCCCTTGGAGCTCAGGGGAACCCCTCGAAGGATGGGGAGGAAGAATTATAAGAGCCGGAGGGGTCAAGGATATCAGAAGAACACAGCCCACAGGTCTCACAGAGCCTGCATGGGTCTGCGCTAGGTCCTCTGCATGTGTGTTATGGTCGTTAGCTTGGTGTTTCTGTGGGACTCCTAACAGTGGGAAGCTGGGCATCTCTGGCTTTCCTCTGCTTTTGAGACCCTGTTCCTCATACTGGGTTGCCTTGTCTAGCCTTGATATGAGGTGTGGTGTCTAGTTTTACTGTGACTTGTTATGTCCTGTTACGCTGATATCCCTGGGAGGCCTTTTCTCAAGGGAAACAAGGAGTTGATGGCGGAGGTAGGGGCTGGAGGAAAGGGAAACTGCCTTCAGATGTATTGAAAAATAAATAAGAAAATAAAACCTAAAAAGAGTGCTTAATTCCCCATAGCTGCGACCATACACCCGCTTCCCTTGGCCTCTCACAGACTTGCTCCAACCTAGGCATCAGCTGAGGAAGCCTGTACCTCGTTTGTTTTGAGTCAGGACCTCACATGTAGCCCTGGCTGGCCGGGAATGTGGGCTGGTATCAAACACATAAGAAAGATCCACCTTCCTTTGCATCCCGAGGGCTGGAATTAAAGATGTATGCTGCCATGTCGGCCCAAAGTTTGTGTTTTCCACCCTTAACTGTCTCTGTCACAGCGGTGAAGCTCCCGCCACATACCCAGTGCTGGCAGTCCAGTCCAAGAGCTCAGGGGTCGTTTGGGGTCTTCAGAGGAGTCTGCCAGTTTCTCTGTTGTACTGGAAACAGCAGGCAGCATGTGCCACCGCCCTTGCGATGGCCACACGTCGGGGCTGAGCTTACGGCATAGGAAAGCCAACACAGCCAGTCCTGGAAGGCCACCTTGACAATGGCGTGCAAGCCCGACGTCGCTCTTTATGGGAAAACAGGTGGTCAACATCTGTGCCTGCTAAGACCACGTCATAATTGCGCGGGAGGAGGCTGGTGAGAGCTGCCCAAAGCTGCTGCTGAGCCTCCCGCCGCCCTGGCCACTAACCACACTTAATGAAGTGTGTGAGCACCCCCTACTGTTCTCATCGGGAATTAACTGCAAGGTAGGAACCAACGTCAACCCGAACCTTCTGTGTTTGTCCTTACAGAGTGTTTAAAATTCCATCAAAAAGTTTCTGTTGAAGCACCTAATGAGCTTGTACAAACTGTTAACCACTTGAGATTTTTTTCCAAGTCCCTTAATAACAAAATGGGATTGTTTTGGTTTTTACTCCATTACCCCAGTTCACAAATATCCTTGGTTCTTAGGTATTTCTACCCCTGCTCCCCTCCCCCATGATCAACGTGTAGACCTCTGGGAGAAAGAAACCTGGCAAAGGGGTTGCCCTAGGTGCAGTGGCACCCGACCTCTGCCCTGGCTGTTTCTAACCATCTTTCCCGGCAGGCCTGGCTCAAGGCAGAGCTACCTGCATCGTGGGCTCCGTTCCCTTTGCAGAAGCATCTCACCAGGCCATACTGTTTTCCACAGAAGTTCGGGGCTCGGGGGAGGATGGTGAGGGGCAGGGGCTAGTCCTGAACTTCAAGATGGAACATGGTGTTCTGCTGCCCACAGCCAAGACCTCAAGGAAACATGTCTCCATCCACACTGCCCCAGGCAGGGTAGTAAGAGAAAGCAGATGACTTGGCCCCTGAGAAAGGGAAATGCCCAGGGGCTACTGGAGGTGGCCAAAAAATGGGAATGGGAAAGGTTTGGAAATGGAGCCAAGTCAGGCCAGCTAGTGAAAGTTCCTTTTAGCCTTTTCCACATGTGCCTCAGCCAGTGGATTTATTACCTGGCAAGAGAGTTCTGGCAATTTAGAGCTCCAGGTGGACAGAGCCTTGGCTCCAGAAAGGGGCAGAACTCTGCCATTCCCTGGGCAGCTACAGAACTACCCCGCCCCCAATGAGAAACGTTGAGCAGGGCGTTTACAGGGCATCTCTGGGCCTGCTGCTCCCGCGTGATGGGAATGGTTGGTCCACTTAATGGCTGTGTGGAGAGTGAAGCAGGACTGTGTACGAGGCCCGCGGCACATGTCACTGTTGTGTGGAGAGTGAAGCAGGACTGTGTACGAGGCCCGCGGCACATGTCGCTGGTTGCGCCTGCCACTTACACTGTTCAGCAGAGAAGCTCAGACCTTGTCCATCTCCACTCAGCAGAGCACACAGAGACCCTAATCCCATCTGACAAGGACAAGAGTGCAGAGTGGAAACACCGAGTTCTCCACCGAGAAGCGGGTCTGCTCTCCTGACTTCAGTCATTCCAAGTCTCCCCAGGAGGCTGGCCCCAGGGACCTTCAGTTTAAGGCTCTTTCCCACTAAGATGGAGGATAGTATTCTTCCACTTCTAAAAGGGCGGCCTCAGCAGTTAGCCCAGGAAATACTTCACACTGAAGATCTGAAGGGTTGGGTACAGTCAGCGAGATGGCTCAGCCCGGAAGGGCAATTGCCACCAAGTTTGACGATTGAACTTGTCCTCCGACTTCCTCAAATCAGCCTGACAGCCTATATCAACTGCCTTCGGTCCCAGTCCCAGCTGGCACCATGCTGAGTTCATGAACAAATCCTTTCCTCCTCTGCCATGGCTTATATGAATAATTTGGTGTTTCATTTTGTTTCGCTTACGTGTTTCAAACAGATTTTTTCCCTAGACTAAATCTGTATGCCTGTGTCTTGTAGACTGTCTAGCTATGACCCTCTCAGAGGGCCAAGGTGCCCTCTCCTTGTGAACTGGCCTCTGAATGTACTTCTGTAGAGGGGACTTTTGCCTTCCCGTGGAGGACCTGCTCATTGCCTCTACCCCTGCACACCGCGTCCTTGGAGTTCTGGCTAGGCCAGGACTGAAGAATTCCCCTGTTGAGTTAAGCAGGACCATATGGACGAGCGGAAAGCTGTCATGGAGAGGAGCTATTCTGGATCACGGGTGTGGCGGGGGAAGCGATGATAACCTCCAAGGCAGTGTTCAGGGGAAGCCTATGAGCTAAGAGGAAGGGAAAGTTGAACTCACACCCCAGGACAGCCGGCCCTCCTGCTGGAAGGTGCTGAGACAACGGAACAACCAGACAAGGGAGCCTGTCCACCTCCGCCTGGAAATACTGGCTTTTTAGGAAATGAAGGGAGGCGAGTGGAAAGGGCAGGCAGGGAGCAGGCAGCTGCAGGCACAGGGTTATGGGACTAGTATGGAGAGGTGGGGAACGGGACCAGGCTCGCTGAAACCCCGAACTAGGGGGTCTCCATTCAATTCTGTCTTCCCTGCAGGCCTGCAAACCCAGCTTGCCATCAGGGTCACGTACACATCTGTTCAGGGCAGGATGGCCGAAGGTCATTCTGTGTGCAGTGGGACTGCCTGCCTCTTATGTCCCGCGTCCCACTGTCTCTGTCGTGAGCTCAAAGGAGTCATCTCAGAGCAGAGCTGGGCCGTGGCTCTCACTGGCACTTGCTGGCAGTGGGTTTGCAAGATCTGCCCCACCCCTGCACCTGGCAGAGCTGCTTGTCCCTCTGTGGAAGAGCAGCTTGGCCCATCCTGTAGGGGAGTCCAGGATCTAAAACCAGCTGAGAACTAGACTAGTCTTACTATGGAGTTTGGTCTCATCATTCCCAGTGGTATTAAGTAGCTTCCCAGACCCCCTTGCTGATTGCCACCCAAAGGAACCCCACTCCAGTGGCCTGGCCTGAGCTACCTGTTCATTCCACCACACCCCCCCACACACACACACACAGCATCCTTACTTGGCAAACTGAGGTGGTTACAAAGCTATTATTAACTATCAGTAACTGGACCCCTAGTCTGCTGGCTGGCAAAGACAGAGGAAGGGGTGTGCGTGACCAGCCTAGAGCAAGCCCCAGCTTAGAAAATGAACGCTCAGGGGGATTCATGCCTGGAAGAATAGTTCCCAAATGCTGGTCCACACCTCCCAGCCTCCCTGAGGCAGTTTCTCTGGCATACAGGGGGGGAAAAAAGAGGGCCCCTAAATTGAATCCTTTAGAAGACTTTCGTACTAAGAGCATGAGCCATCTTTACTCTGTGTTACAGTTTCCTTTCTTCGTGGAGCAGTGGTGGTATGTAAACACACCAAGAACACGCTGGAGGGGACATTTGTGTCAGCACCGTAGACGGTGTGGCGCTTCCGAGTGCAGGCCCTGGAGCCGCGTTACCAGTGTTCAGATCCTTGTCCTCTTCCCTCTAAGTGTGGGCTTTGGGAAGGTCATCTAAAGCCCTGGTCCCCTGGAGTTCTCTGTAACATGGGGGTGTCGGAGCACTGTTGTGGGAGCACTGTTGTGAGGACTCAGCAAAATTCCATACTTAGACCACTTAGAAGAGTCAAGAAGCCAGCAAGGTGCCACACACTTGGAATCCCAGCATCTGTGAGTCAGAGGCAGGAGGGCTGGAGTTCCAGGCCAGATCCGTAGCAAGACCCCAGGCCAAAGAAGAAAAAGGAGAAACTTAGAGGAGCTGCCATTCTTCATTACGTTCCAGATTCTCCTGTCATTTTACAGCTCCAAGAAAATCCACCGCCTAAGGTTCACCGCTTGGGAGAACCCATTTCCATGTGGTTGCGGGTGGACAACACACCAACTCCATGTATCATTTAGTCACATGGCATAGACTTAGGTTCCATAGGTACCTAATATGTTGCTCCGGAGAAGGTGCCCTGTGCCACCCAGGTTTCCTGACATAATCTGATCAGTTTGCTGATAGATAAGAGTCTCACCTCAGCATACCCCATTCCACATGCCCCCACAATCCGTGTGTGTGTGTGTGTGTGTGTGTGTGTGTGTGTGTGTGTGTGTGCGCGTGCATACATTCCTCCAGAAGCCTGTTTGCGCCTAAGGAAATTGACTCTTTCATAGACTTAGATTTGTTCATTATGCAACACAGCCAGCTCATTTGCAGACAGTAAAAAATTGGCACAGACATGCCCATGTGTTGTAGGGGCCAAGCTGAGCTGCGACAGACACCCATTGTGTCTCTCGGGATACTGCTTTACCCCTGCTTGCCACCTGGAGGCATACCATCTGACATGAGCTCATGGCCGAGCCTGCCGGGTAAGGAGCTCTCCAGATTCTGACGCCGAGTGTCAGCGGGTCCTGCCTGCAGAGGGTTGGAGGACTGACTGGAGAAAGGCTTTGTGCTGGGGCCCATGGGTGCTAACCCTGAGACAGGAGCCCATTCTACTGCATGGAAGGGTGATTAGAAACTAGAGAACATGGTGGTGCACACCTTTAATCCCAGCACTCGGGAGGCAGAGGCAGGCAGAGCTCTGTGAGTTTGAGGCCAGCCTGGTCTACAAAGTGAGTTTTGGACAACCAGAGCTATTACACAGAAAAACTCTGTCTCCAACAACCAAAAGAAAGAAGCCAGAAGGCCCAATCAGGGGTCGAGGACACCAGGAGAACACAGCCCGCAGAATCAACTAAGCCAGGCGCATAGGGGCTCACAGAGACTAAGGCAGCACTCACAGAGCCTGCACGGGTCTGCGTATGTTATGGCTGTGTAGCTTGGTGTTCTTGTGGGCCTCCTAACAGTGGGAGTCGGGTGTCTCTGACTCTTTCACCTACTTTTGGGACCCTCTCCTCCTATTGGGTTGCCTCTTCCAGCCTTATTGTGATTTGTTATGCCGTGTTCAGTTGATGTCCCTGGGAGGCCTGCTCCTTTCTAAAGGGAAGGGAGGAGTGGATCTGGGGGAGAGGAGGTGGGGTGGATGCTGGGAGGAGCGGAGGGAAGGGCAATTGCAGTCAGAAGGTAATGTATGAGAGAAGAGTGTTTTTGAAGTTTTTTTTTTTTTTTAGCTGAGGATCGAACCCAGGGCCTTGCGCTTGCTAGCTAGGCAAGCGCTTTACCACTGAACTAAACCCCCAACCAATTTTTTGAAGTTATAATAAAAGAAGGAAAGGAAGACAGACAGACAGACTGAAAGGCCCAATCTGGCCCCACCTGGTGACGGGCGTGAGAGCCTGAGACAGCGCAACATTGCCACCATGTGGACAGAAACCTGAATGACCACTTTGCCGCCAGTCCCGCCCAGTGGCTCTGAATCTGGAGTCCCATACCTACAGGATTTGAAACCTTCCCCAAGCCGTTTCACGGTGTCTCCGGCAGAACCTTGGTAGAGGCAGCAGTCCTTGTAGATGCCACACCCGGGACCTGAGTTTGTTCATTAAGTTTCTAAGGTTTTGATAAGTAACTAAAATAAACCGAGATGCAAGGCAGTTTGGGAGGACCGGAAAATGAATGGCTTGAGATTCCCAACACAAGATGGTCAGCCAGGGGGAAGACTCCACGCTGTGTGCTGAGCCAGTGAGGCGAGTCCTCAGGCTGACTCCACAAGCCCAGCCGCACGCGGGTTATCTGTGACCAGGGAGAGGCTCTTAGCCTTGCCCTGCCACCGCCTCCTCCTGGTCCTTTCAGTGACCCTCCAGCACTGGATCTGCCAGGGAGCAGAAGCTAGGAGGTGGTACACACAGCCTCTCCCCGTCCAGCCCGCCCCCGCTACCCCCCCCCCCCATCCTTTAACTCCATGTCAGAGTCAGACTGCCCAGAGAATAGCACAGGATGCAAGGCTAGTTACAGAATCCACAGATAAATAAAATACATAGCTCCTCGTTTAAAGGCCAGGGTGACGCATGGAACCCAGTGCAGGGCCCTTTTGAGCATGGAGTTCAGCACTGTTCAGGCGCAGGGGAGACAGCCCTGCCTAGCCGCCTGGGGTGGAGGAAAGGGCTCTCTCGCTTTCACAACCCCCACGGCAGCCTGCCACGGCAGTAAGTGGTCCCAGAATGCATTATTCATCCCACGCCCTGCACAGTGGACCTGGCTACAGCTATTGCAGCCTGTCCTAATTAAATGGAATTTTCTGCCCCGTGCTTGGAGCTGAGTTTGTGAATTGAAAATGCAAATGTGTGCGAAACAGTCTTGGCCCTGAGTCCCCCCAGCCTGCCTCAGTAAAGCTAAGATGAACCAATACCCCAAACCCACTGCAGAGCTGCGTAGCCCAGTGCTCCACGGTGCACTCTGTGGCACCTCTGTGTCCCCTGGCTCTTCAATGGTACCAGTGACTTGTCCCTGTCGGTGAGTCTCAGTGGTAAGACAGAGTTCCTGCTGGCTATGGCTCCTTAGCCTATTTTAATCTGTCAATAAAAGGCCAGACTTGGCTTCATAATCTTTTTTTAATATACAATTTTATTATTGTTTGTTTGTTTGCTTGTTTTAGTTTAGTACATTTCTTTTTGTGCCTGCCAGAGTGTGGGCAGAGTACAAGGGCAACTTGAAGGAGTCAGCTCTTCCTTCGCACCACGTGGATCCTGGGCTTGAACTCGGGTCGTCAGGCTTGGCTGCAAGCACCTTTACCCACTGAACCATATCCCCAGCCCTCCTAATCACTTTTGGAGGCATCAACATTTGATTGATTTCTTAGGGATTAAGTGTCTTTCTAAGTAGGTTTTCAGGATTCTGCCAGCACTGTGGGGTCAAGAACACCCCTAACCAGACCTTGCTCAGGATGCCATATGGAGCCCTCAGTGGCCATTAGTCCATGGCAACCTCAGGGTAACAGGAACCCCTGGGGACAGTGCTTCTCCAGCTCCAAATCATGCTGGTCCCTCAGAAGGCCTCCGGAGTGGACCACTGCTGCCTGTACCTCCAGATTGAGGTCTCAGGAGCTCTGGGTCAGGAGTGGGAAGTTGTACCTATGAACTCCCCAAGATCTCAAAGCTCCTGTCCAAGGACCACTCTTGGAGAGCCCCACACACACACATCCCAGACCACAGGCCTAGTATCCACCCCCAGGGGCCTGAAGAGGGAGGGAGTGGCCCCAAAGGATAACTAACTCCCAGGTAGAAAATACTGAGTGCGATGCCTACATTCTAGAACAACGGGGCTTGAGACAGTGAGATCAGGTCAAAAAGCTTTCCCCAAGAAGTTGCCAGGCATCCCTGCCTGCGTGTTTGCCACCAGGGAATGAATGAGTCCTTACTGTGGATGGCAGCTGTGGTGGACACTGAGTCTGCACCAGCCTCCCCGAAACCACACGCGTGTGAGCTGGCTATGCACACACGCGTGGAACCAGCCCACACATGTGCCCTGGAACTCCTCAGTTAACGTAGAGCATGGCTCAGTCCTCCTGACCCATACCACTAGGAAGGAGCAACCACGTCAGAGGAAAGGAATACTATTTACATGGTGAGTCTTCCTGGAAAGTACTCGGGCGAAAATCAGAGACACCGCACAAACACCACCTGAACAGTCAGCCGATAACTCGTTTTCCTTTTTGTTAACAAAAATCGCCAGGAGCCAAGTCTGACAGTAGCAGCACCATCCGGGAGCTTGAGGAGTATGAACCAGGGTAGACGATGGGCAAAGCCCTCTTTCCTCATGACACTAGCTCAGTCACTGTCAAGTCTACCGGAGGCCACCCCTTCCCCCCAGCCTCAGCCCATACAGGGCTCCAGGGAAGCTCTAAGGGCCTTCCAAAGGATCTTCAACCTCTGCTGGGCAGTGGTGGCACACCCCTTGAATCTCAGCACTCGGATCTCTGTGAGTTCGAGGCCAGCCTGGTCTATAAAGCAAGTTCCAGGACAGCCAGGACTGTTACACAGAGAAGCCCTGTCTTGAAGAAAAAAAAAAAAAGAAGAAGAAAGCAAGCTCTCCAATCTCTCCTCAGATCTACAGTACTACCTCCCTGGGCCACTCCAAATAAGGAGAGAACATTTTATAAAGTCAAAAGAGGGACAGCCAAGAGGTGGAGGCACATATCTTCAATGCAGCATCCCTCCAACTGGGACCTATCCACGCTGACAGCCAGTCCACGCACACCCCATGTATGCGTGTATGCACACACACACAGCATATATGACCACCTTTGCACTGAATGCAGACCCACAACACTTTGCACCTCATCTTCCTCTGACATGTCACCCCCACCCATCCCCCACCCCAACCGCAGTGCCCTCTCTCCACATGATGCCCCTCCCCCAAACTCCCTCCTGATCCATCTACTGACTGTCACAGTCCAGGAACCAGGCCCTGGCTTCTAAGTGAGCACCTGTTATAACCGAGGACAGAAATAGCCTCTGGCCTAGGGAAGACGAGGCACTGTGGTCCGCACCCAGCATGGCACCAGGGCTAAGGGAAATTCTGTTCCAGTTTAGTGCAAAGGGGACTATTCATAGAAGTGGAGAGGGAAGGAGAGTCCCCTATGGCAAGAAAAACAAGTTACCTAAAAAGAAATAAAATGTTTTACTTACAAATACCCACCCCTGGAGCCAGCAAAAGAATTCCAACCTTAGGTGGCACTGTGTTCCAGGGTCTCTGGGGCTTCCTGAAAGGAGTCACCCTAGGGGACTCCAGCCCCTCCACCCACAGAGCTCCCAGGAGCTCAATGATAGTTGCCCCCTAGAGTCAGGAAGCAGGTCTCCGGGACAGGGTCGTCTTCACCCAGCTCAGGACAAGAGGGGAAGGCTGCCATCAAATCCTTGCCCCCAGCCTGGCCCCTGGCACTCAAGTTCTCTGCCCAACTCCTGGCCCCACTTTGGAAGCCGAGGGAAGTCCTGAGGATGCAGTTCACAGTCTGGGTTGTGGGGAAGAGGCCACGGTATGAACGTCCTCAGTGGTCCTGGCCTGTCTCCAGGTATGCATGTGGGGGCATCCCTGTGGGTGTTCATGGCAGATCATCCATGCGTCTATACTCCAGTCTGATCTTTGATCCAGTCCCGAAGGACAGGGAGCCTCGTGTACACGCCTGGCTTGTTCCTCTGAGCGCAGCCTTCACCCCAGCTCACCACACCGGCCTGGAAGATCCGTCCATCTGTCTCCACGCTGGACAAGGGGCCACCAGAGTCACCCTGAGCAAAAGCAAATCCCGTGCATGAGGCCCTTACCCCAACTCTCAAGAGCTGCCTCGATCTAACTGGCCTCTCCCATGCCCAGCCGACCCCTCAGCTTGCCCTCTCTTGACACCTGCCCTCTCCCACCCAGGCTTTCCCCAGCCCCACCTCTCCCTAGCTCCAGCCTAGTTAGGCCCCGCCCCTCCCCTTCCCCTGCCCTGCCTTTCTAGGTCCCTCCTCCTCCAGCTCTGCCTCTCCCCTGCAAGCCCACGCACCTGGCAGGAGTCCACACCCCCAGTGAGGAAACCCACACACATCATCCGTGGGGTGATCTGCTGTGGCATGAGGCCCTCACAGGTGGTCTGGTTGATGACACGGATCTCCCCCTTCTGCAGGATCAGTGCTCCGGTGCCTGGGAAGACAGTAAGCCAGGGTAGACTGAGGCAGGCAGCTCCTGGGGGAAGCCACTGTGCACGGGGAAAACTCACTGGAGATGTTCCCCCACGGGTCAAGTCTACAAGCACTGCTTGGAAATAGCCCAAGTGCCTGCAGCAGGCAGGTAGACGGGCAGGCAGCTGATAGCAGACAGAAGGATATCGTGCAGCCAGGGAAGGTAACAGACACTGCTGCTGTGTCAGGTCAGATAGATATGCACCAAGGTAAGGCATGGGTGGAAAGCAGGAACACCAAAAAATGCCACCAAATGCCACCGTGACTCTTGTCTGTAAGGGAGCCCTCTAAGGCAGGGTTTTACTTTCTGTATGAATGTTCACCGATGTACCGTACTGATCTAATGGAGTTTGTCAATCTAAAGTTTCCCTACAAACTGCTTGCCCTCCACGGGGCTCAGGGACCCACAGTGGGTAATGTTGCAGGCCCAGCTCAAAGGTTTGTCCAAGTCGAAAGTAGCGCCCACACCTCGGTTCACACTCATTGAGCACGCGTTTGCAGATGAATAACCACAGTTAATAGACCAGTAGCTGGCCACTAGGTTGTTCAGTGGCAAAGTCAGGGCTTCAGTGAAGGGCCCAGCCTGCAAATTCTCCACTTTTTACTAGGAGCCTCCTTTTCCTTTCCACCCCCGACAGCTTCATCCTGACAGGCACCAGGAAGCTGGGTAATCCACCAGCTCTGAAGCCAGGACGAACTCTGTGCAGTCAAGGCTAGACACCAACGGGCTGTCAGCGGGCAAGCACCATGGCCTTGCAGGAAGGCCTGAGGCTCTCTGAAGGTCCTTGCCTGGCCGGAAGCTCACCTCCTTCTTGGGTGTGCCCCCAGCCTGTAACCCAGATGGCCTTGCCGGCAGGGAAGACATGGGTGGTATCAGGCAGGCAGATAGGGCGCACCACAGTGCTGTACTCCGCCGGCTTCTCGAGCTCCAGCAACGCGATGTCGTAGTCGAAGGTGAAGTCATTGAAGGAAGGGTGGGTGATGATGCGTTTGAGTTTGTGCTCCTGCACCCCAGAGGAGCTGCGCTTGCTCTGGTCCAGCAGACCCAGGAAGGCCGTCCACTTGGTGGGGTCTGAGTACCTGGGAAGACACGGAGGAGGAAGAGCAGTCACGAGCCGGTGGGTGGGCATGAACGCAGGCGGCACTCGGACTTCTCAGACTCAGAAGGCTACCCATCATGAACACAGCCTTAAGCAGCTGCCGAGGACCAGGAGCCAGAGGGAAGCTCTCTTACTGCGGCTTCACCCTAAACAGCGACTTTATTAAGCATAGTAAGAGGTGTTGGATTCCCCCCTGGAGCTGGCGTTATGGGCAGCTGTGACCCGCCCGATCTGGATGCTGGCAGTTGAACTCAGGCCTTCTAGAAGATCAGTACATTCTCTTAACCACTGAGCCATCTCTCCAGCCCAAGGGCCTCCCTCTTTCTAATGTGGCCTCGCATTCATTCTCTACTCCAACGATGTAGTCATCCACCTATTTGTTTATTCAATCATTATTGGACATCTATGATATTCCAAGAATGGCCCCAGGGCCAACGTCAAGTTCAGAGTGTACTTGGGGTGAGAGAGGTGAAAACCAATTACAGCAATCCCCCGGAGGTCAGGGTGGTGACTGTTACTGTTTGGGAGGTAGGAGGGAAAGAAGCAATCCTCGGAACACAACTACGGTTTTGCCAGCCACAGCCAACCCCACCCCTACAGAGTGGGGGTTGGGGAGGGGGGGGCGACAAGATGTGAGGCACAAAGGGAAAGTTCAGGAGGCGACACTGA